ACCTGGCGCGCCATTTTTTTTTTTTTAAATTGGTTTTACATTAAAAAACCTCAAATTTAAAACCTGGAACCATAAACCCAAATACTGATGTTTAGATACTTTATACATTTCTACATAACCACAACAAAATTAAATTTGTCAAAGATACACATTGATTTCTAAAATACACAATACAGTGTATTTTTTTTTTCTTGATCATCGTAGAATTTCTACTTTTAACACCAATTATCAAGTTGTTGTAACAATTGTTGCATAAAACTTCATCTGGTTCAATCAATACTATATGATCTGCATACAGGAAGACAGACACCTCAACATCTTTGACCTTGACCCCATTATGTAACATATTAATATCTAAGGCAAGGTCATTATAATGAAAAAAGTGACACTGAGACTTTGCAGTCATGTATTAAACCCTGCTTCACATCAAATGCCTCTGTGAATTGACGATGAATTTTCACAATAACTGGACATTATTATATAAAGTGTTGATGGCTTGAATAAAGTTACCATGGATACCAAATTGTCCCGTATTTATTTAAAAGTTAAGGAGTTCACAACTAACATTATCAAATGCAGGGCTCTCGATCTGCCAGATTTGGGGCCAATATTCGGCCCCATTCCCAATGCAAAAGAGTATCTTTTTTCCCCAATTTAGACCCGAAGTTTTCCAAATTCTAAGGTAAACACCATTATTTTTCCCAATTCTAGGGGCCCCGGGTCCCAGTCCCAAAATGGGGTGTGAGAGCCCTGAAATGCCTTTTTCATATCAACAATGCAAACAATTGTGGAATGTTTCTGTATTTTCTTGATTGGTCTAAAATAGAATATAAAACATACTGTATATCAAAACAACATGTTTTTTTCTGAGACAATTCTTCCTTTTGTTCTTTTAGACTCCAGCCATTTGGATAAATGCTTGTTTAGAATATCAGCATAGGTTAGATATTTAGGAAATACCTATTAACATAAAGGTGAAATAGGTGCTTTCAGTGCTGTATTTTACCGGGTATAGGTTAATGCCTGGAAATAAGCCCACCCACGCTTCTGAAATGCCAAATACAAACCCACTGTGAAAAAGCAATAAAAATATTTTGGTAATTGGTATAAAATTTATTATACTAGTGTTGTCAATTAAATCCCTTTTCTTCAACATCATCAGCACTGACAATAAAATCAGTCAATCACCATATCTTGCATTGAAATCACCTAATACGTCTTTCCTACATTTCTGTAAAGATATACATTGTCTGACAGGTCAGTCTTGTATCAAAAATGGCATAAAGTTAGTTAACAAGCAACAGACCAACCATATCTATTTATATATCCAAATAAAACCGACAAAACTTTGAATTGTTTGATGCGTGCAATAGCTCTTTCTACATGAACACCTGTGCTTTGCAATTTTAATCATTTTTAAGACATCCTGTGGCTTCATCTGAGCAACTGTCATACATATTTTTTTTCATTTATATGTGTATTCTCAAGTCGAGATCAATAAATAATGTCAGATTTAATCTTTAATGTTGTTTATGATTCACTTGTCTCTTTCTCAGGTAGACAATGGACAACACATGATCCTGTGATCAAATTACTCTGTTTTGATCCCATCATCATGGTCTTCAGTATACCAGTTACACAGTTCATTTGATTTATGTTAAGATAAAAATACTGAAGTTTTTTAGTCAAATATCTGATAAATGAATGTGAAATTGTTTTACAGATGCAGATTCAGAGAGGTCATAAGGTCACCTCTTTCAAAGCATCAATGGGATGGGACATTCTGTGAACAGATGACCTATGATAGTGGACCCACCATTGATGTTGACTTAGAGGATGATGGATGACGACCTCTTTTAACATGACAATGAGAATACTATAGAGCCTCGGCAGACTTTGATGCAACATCCTTTTTTAACAGTGACGATGATGAGGAATTTGAAGGATTTTTGTTTAGTGATCAGTGACTGTGTTTGTGATTAGTGCAAAGTGACTTCAGTACTATAAACTGCTTATAATTACTTAGTGCTCCATAGATTTATCGGTCTACTGTTCCATTTGTGCAAGTCGTAATTACTATGGAACCTGTACTGTTAAAATTTTTAGTATTATCACAAACTTTTTGTTACTTAGCTTTATATAAAAAATAATGAAACTTATTTGCATTAAACATTCGAAATTTGTTTTATTCTTTGTTGTTTTATCTTCAGTCGATCATATATGACCGATGCCTCACTAGGTGAAGGGGATAGTCCAATATGGCAGACGAGAGAACTCGAGAATAACACCAAGAAAGGCATATATCTGTGTATAGTATGCACCGCTTTTCAACAAGACACTTTTAACCTAAAAAAGTGTGCACTATACATGGAAATTTAGAGTATTCTATTTAATGTGAAGCAGAATTTTGTAAGGAATTTTTGAAGTAAATGTTTCCAGAATGTCATTATTATCGATGATTGCAAGTTACCTAGGTTTCGTGGAAAATTAATTGGATGGGCATTTTACTATTATAGTGACTATAATTATATTCAGACAATACTTAATAATTTATATTTAACCAAAGGGTACAGATTACCTATTGCTATTGGGCATTGTCAATTGCCATGCCTAAACTTTTCCTTTAAAACATGACTCCTGCTTAATACCTAAGCAGATTTCAACCAAATTAAGTCTGAAACATTATATGGGGTGGGGGATAGTTTCTTACATTCTGAAATTTGACACCTTGGGGTCTTTGCCCTAAAAGGGTAGTTAGACAATACTTCACTTAAAAACGCTACTCTTATGCTTTAATGCTTGAGTGGATTCCATTCAAATTTTGTCTGCAACATCAGTAGAGGCAAATAATTTGTAAATTTAGAAAGTTGATTCAACCTAGAGCCCAACATTTGGCCCAAAACATTGGGAAGTGTCAATGACATCAAACATGTGAGTGATCCTGAGATTGTCCTGACCAAATCTTATTTTTACGCATTGATCCAAAATCCAACATAATTCATCTAGAACAAATAGTTTGAACTACTCGTGTTTCAGCCAAACCAATGAGAAAATTAATTGGAGTTTGAAATTTTCAAAGAAAAGAAAGATGTGGTTTGTTGTTTCTATTCAGTCTGATCAAAACTTCAACATGTACAATGCAGTGGCCATTTTGTAACATGATTGTTTAACTATTTTTGTTGCACAGAACCTACCATTTATGAGTTTGATATTTTCAAGGAATGTTCAAAATTTGAATTCACCAGATTTGTCAGACCATCAGTAAATTATGTGGTTTGTCCATCCATTCATCGATTGTCAGATAACCATTAAGGGCCATGGCTCTCTGGTTTTTTTTTTTAACAAGGTTAAAAAAGGAAAGGAAATTCTATTTCAAAACTTAACATATTGGGTTTTTATGGTGTCCATTTAATTTGGAGTTCGATCAGTGAAACATTTCATGCATTTACACCATGTTGTTTTCACCAAGGGTGCAGTAACAGTATCATCATTTGTCTCCCAAGTGTTGAAAGCCAGATGTCTGTCTTTGAGAATGTACATTAAATTATAAACTTCAAGGTATTAACTGAACTACTGACTATAGGCTCTCCACGATGTCAACACCTCTGGTCAGTAATACGGAACTAATAAGGATGTTTATGGGTTATCAATTCATGGATTGTATAAGATTGCTATGTATTCAAAAATGCAGTTAAGAAATTGTCAGTTTTTCCCAGTGGACATCTCCTTTTTTCCAGTCCAAATATTTCCGTGCCAAAAGACCAAAGGGTTGGATACCAGTAATGTGAGTATTGCATTACGCCCTTTCCTTATAGCACAGAATATACACATCATAGAGAGTCTAAGATAATTTGAATATGATAAACATACTATTGTATTGAGATAGGTTCCTTCATATTATCATATATATGACACAGAACCATTACACAATCAGGTTATCCATGTAGAATTTCTAATAAATTTAGCCATGCAGATGCTACCAGCCAGCTTGGTTGTAACAGTATTATAACACGTTTGTTTCCATTGTGAGTTTTTTAAAATCACCTAAGAATAAGAATGGCCATCCATGTCCATGGTCATTCAAGGCAGTATGAACACGGTGGATAACGACCTACTAAATCAAGTGTAGTATACTCTTACGTAGAACACCTTTCATGGAAACTAAATACTGTGTATTTTCAGTGTTGTCAAACAGTAATACTATGGCTAGAGTTATGTCACAATGTCTTGAAAATCAAAGTGGCAAAAAATATAACTACGACTTATTAATGGCCAGCGAAGATTCAAAGAAATGTGGGCATGTTTTATACGTGGAAAAAATATCAGATACCATATTAGTTACATAAAACTAGGCAAACATTAATTTGAAATAGCATAGCGTTGTAGTAAATGCACTGCCAGTGTCAACAGCAGCATCCGAAAGTCTGTAAAACTAATAAACTAAAGGATAATACTAAAAGCTGACTAAAAAATTTAGAGGTGCAGAATGTCACATTCACATTCATCAAAACTACGTAAGAGTCGCTGCTCTATGCTACAGTTGAAGCTGTGTATATTGCAAAAATAACTCTAAGGGACAGAACCCATATGGAGTAATTTTTCATATTGCTTTAAGCAGCTACTGTGGAACATATGCAGAGATATAGTACTGTTGGTCATAAAGACCCAGGTGAGCGATACAGGCACTCTGGGCCTCTTCTTTCAACATATCGTCTGCAACAGGTGCTATATGTTAAAAATCTCATCAACCCTGATTATTAAATCGGCAGATAATGACTCCAGGTATATTGTTTTGAAAACACAACACATTCTATAATTCGATAAAGACATTTTGTAGTTTTTTTCTTTTGTGTTTTTGCAAAACAACTAAGTAAACATGACATTAAATAGGCCTACTGAATCTGAGATCGATCTTCAGTTTGTACTCCATTCAAGCGTCTGTTTGATCATGGGTACTTCCGGTTGGGAAAGGTGAGAGGGCACAGGCCTACTTTCCAGATGGATTGAGTTATGTTTTACTGTGACAGAGTCGGTCTGCATGACAATTCGACGACTTTCTGTGTCGTGAAACGGGTTTGCTAAAGCCGAGGCACATGTCAGTCTGACCATGAGTCGAGGGAAAGACGCCGCGATGGTGAGGAACCCGCGGAGGGACAAATCTGAAGTCAGCTGCTGTATCAAATATTTGATGTTTGGATTCAATGTTTTGTTTTGGGTAAGTAAACAATGAAGGCATGGATGTGTTATTGACCTTTTTTGTAGTTTATGATATGATATCTATAAAAAGGAAAGATATCTGAAAACTAGTCAAAATACAAGAAAGTTTATTTGTACTGGAGATTTACACAGTTATAATTAGTGATGCATTGTAACAAAAGAATTGTTGCTGTTCAAACTCTTGTCCATGTGCTCATGTGATAATTTTAGGCAAGTTTCCTGTGATAAATGCAATATTTGTATTAAGAATAGTACTATATCTGAATCCGACTTTTTGCATATATATATATATAATTTTTTTTTGCTTATCAGTGAAATAATAAGGAGTACAATGTAATTTGATGTATATTGAATAAAAAATTGTTTATGTAATTATAATAACTGGAACATCTGTTAGACAAAGTTGATTTGGTTTATTCATTGATATTAGCCTCATTTGTGTGCTAGTAGGTAAGATATTTGTCTGATAGTGATGAGATGTCAATGAAAAAAAAATATAAATAAATGTCAGTGAATAAATAGATAAATGAATAAATAAATGAAAAAAGATGAATCAATAGCAATGCTTTACATTATTTTGAACAATTTGGCTAAATCAAAACCAAAAATGTAACTTCAGAGTTACGACAGAAAAGCAATTGCAAGCATGTATTAAATAAGTGCCACAACTATGCATGAAGTTGGGAACTCTAAATATACAAGGAACACAACATTTTGTCTCAGGAAAAAATGTTTCTTTTTTGATAGTTAGTGCAAAAATTCACCATGACCTTTGATATGCAGACCTGAAAAAAACCTTTCTAGTTTTCAAAACCTAGCTATTCTGTTATATGAAGCTTTGAAATGATAGGTGTAACATAAGTTACATTGTAACTTACTCCTGTACATTACATGTGTAATACATAGTAATAACACATAAAAGTGATTTTGACCTTCAGACCTGAAAAGCAAATTCAAATCTCTCAGTAAGAGACATGTTACTCCAAGCTTATTACTTTAGTTATTCACATTGAAGCTTAAGGAAACATCTGACACTGGCAATGCTAACCGACTAATGACTGATGCCAACAAATAGCTTTTCAAATCACAACACTATAAATGGATGAAGGTTTTTGAATTGCAATTCAGTCAATGTTAATTGAATTGATGAGTGTTACATTATAAATTAATAAATTTAGCAAGCTGTAATACATTAGGAATAGGATAAACTTGGTAAATTTGGACAATAAATGAAGGAAGGTTATGTGATTTAGTCAAAATAGCATGTATAGGGGGTGACTGAATTTAGCCAGACAATAATTTATTTAGGGCCACAATAACTTACCAAAGTGTTTAAAAGTAATATACTGCTATCTTGTTGAAGTTCCTTCATATACTTCACAGGGGTCACATACTATTGGCAATAAATATTTGTCACAATCTCTTGTGAAATATAGGACAGCAGTGTATTTCTGTATGATCTTTCTGATTCGATGCTAACCACACCTACTTAATGAAATTATATGTTCATTTAATGAAATACTTATTCAGATAAACTTATATACAACATAGATAGTCGAAAATTATTTGACATTTGCTTAGATGACTGCAAATGTTGTGAATTTTGGCTTAAAAAGCAATGGATTCCAAATATATCCATGTAACAGCAATTTAAATTTTGTGTCCAATGGATAACAATTCTATTGCTTTAAATCTATTTACAGTAGATGAGACTCCATGTATCTAATACTCTAGATTTGTAGTTGGCATCAATTTCCACGTCCAAAATAATAAACAAATACAGAATTAACAGTCACAGTTACTTTGAATTAGATTGTAAAACACAGAGCTTAATATTACCAGTAATTGTTGTAGGATATTTTCAACTTAGTCAAGAACACAAATTTCAAAATTTTCACGAGTCCCTATACAAAGAGGTGGAATGGATTCTCAAATATTGAATGAGTCCCACAGGGAAAGCATGACAAATATCTGAGTCCCAAAAATCAATGTATTATTAATCCAATAATCTGCTGATCTTATATTTCCTAAACATTTACAGCAAACATATCAAACCATGGCTTTTTATACTCATTTGGGAATGGGTGTTTTATTTTTTTATAAACAGATTTTGGGGGGAAAGGATCTGTTGGGGGGGGAATTTATATATTTCAGGAGGATGGGCATATTATGAAATACAATGTATGTCAGATTGGGAATGGGGCTTTATGATATTTGGCCCCACAGAGCCCTCGGAAAAAGCCCTGCATATATACAAATGGAATTATGTAACCAGTTGCAGCTATTGTGATAAAAGTTGCCTGATCAAATGTTACAGATATCGAATTGCATCATTTCTGTGAGATACAAAATGTTGTAGAACATCGAAAGTTCTCTCATGTGATACATCAAGGCTTATAATACAATTGTATATATGCACAATTTTGTTAAAAATATTCACATCAAGCTGAAACAGAAAACGTGTTTAGACATCCTTATGAAAATTTGATGTTGAACATTATTGGAAATCTATAATGTTGCTGAGAGTGTGATCGATAACACAGGCATACTCTCTCAAAGGATTCAAATTGTTTATCTTGTCACCGAGGTAACAATGTCAATATACAGTATCTGTATACTAGCTATGTATGTTTGATCAATACAGCATTAATATACCATATCCCCTGCTTCCTATTAAAGTGCTATACAATGTATCTACATACACCTGTACACTAAAGTGCTGCCATCATTGAAACGACAGATCAATATTCATTTCTTCATCTTGCTGAAAGTTCTTGACCCTCAAATTTCTTTTCTCTTTGAAAATATGTAAATGCCTGAAGTATGTTTTTAAATTTCTTGCTATGATTTGTTTATTTGCTCAATCAGAAAAGATAAGTGGAAAACTAAAAGGTTAATGTAATATATTAATTTACCCATTAAATGACATAAATCTCTCTATTCTCTAAATATACATAGTATTCATTTATTTTCACTCTTGTTTTACATTCGGAAGTATCTGACATTGTGTCTGCTGTATGATATTGTAAAAGTGTTAGGATAAATGTAAGGTTCTACTTCTTTTTTGGGAACATGCAGATTTTCCAATGGGCACAAAACATGAAAGGAATTGTAATTGAAGGCATGTTTTAAAGTACCAAACTACAGCATGGTTGATTTTTTCATCAAAGATCAGAGCTAGATCACTAATTCATTTAAGATTTCCATGAAGTTTAAATCAATGTAAAACAATTGCTCTATAATGATGAATCGATGTGTACAAATTTTAAACTTGATATAGTACAATTGCACGACCGTAAATGTGGCCAGTAAGAAGCACGGAGGAAGGGCTGTCAAGTTTGTTCAAATGAATTACCTTGACCCATGTTCACGGGCACAGGATGTAAAAATCTTCAAACTACTTTTAATTGAACAATCAAGAGCTGAAAAGCCATGGGTTTATAGATTTAGTTTAATGTTTGTATGAATAAATGACCTTAACCCATTTCTAAGGTCACAGGAAAAAATGTTCAACTCGATAACAAGATGGTAATTACTTTGGAGAAAAGAAGGAAAATGAATATAGAAATCAATAAATTACATGACTTGAAGTTACAGAATGCAACTTTTCCAAATATTCTTTTTATATGCTGCAGAATTGGTGAATGACGTACAGCATTTAATCTATTGTATCTTTATATATAGAGAGCTATATAACATGTTACATCTGTATAGATTTATCATTGCTAATGGTTCTATAGTGGTAAATCAACATTATTTCACAAACCATGTCCCTTCAAGCATACACTGTACAATCAAAATGAAATAAAATTTTACATCAAGGAATTATTGAAATAGACTCGCCAGAGTTTTGTTCACCAGTGCTACAGGCACTTGAGCAGCTGAACTAGCTGATGAGTTAGTAGTAGGAATCATCCATCTTGATTTGCTGCATGTTTCAAGTCCTAATTACTACAAAGTGTTTGTGTTAAGGTGCTAATGACAGACAGACAAGTCTAACCAATACTTCAGAGTTCTGGATGTTCTGTAACTAGGAAAAGGGTACATACTTATATATACACTTCAAAGTCTCAGCTCTGCATACATTTATATAGGATGTCCTTGTTTCTGTCCATTCCATCCTAGCTTTCACTTGGGTTAATGTTTTTGCCATTCTCTTACTCCTCCTCTTGCTCCTCCTCTCCTCCTCCTCTCCATCCTTATCATAATGCATTGATAAATAAAAGTACATGCCAACATATATATATCCAGCTTAAGAATTGTTACTCCTTTGATTTGATCTGATTTTTTACAATAATTTCTAACCTTCACTATACTATTTGTATTTGTACTGTCACCCTGGTAAATATTTACTACCAAAATGCCACTGGGATAGAGAAAATTTCTCTTGAGCTTGGATAGTGGAGTGTCAGACTAGTAAGTCAAGAGGTCCTGGGTTCGAATCTTTGCAGAGGCATGGAATTATGACCTCTGTTACAAATGTGTTTGCACATGCATATATGTATGCTATGTAATGAATATTTCTGCATGGATTATCAAATTTAAAATATGTATTCATTAAATGTTAGGGTAGACATAATTTACAATTGTTGAAGGCTGGAAGGTTGAAGACAATGTTTCCTGTAATCCTTTGCCTAGGACTGTCTACAATACACATTTGAATTATGTTATGATATCAAAATTGTTCTTTTTGTATTTCAGTTGATTGGGGCCACAGTTTTGGCCATTGGATTGTGGGCATGGACAGAAAAAGACATGTTCAACAACATCAACAAAATGACCAGCATCACCCTTGACCCGGCACTGTTCTTCATACTGATTGGTCTAGTCATATTTATTATCGGGTTCTCTGGCTGTGTTGGTGCTCTCAGGGAAAACACATGTCTGCTCACATTTGTAAGTTGTATACATTATTTCTTAGTGTTCCTCTTAGACAGAAGCATATTCTTGTGGAAGTACACATAGCTTGCACATGTGCCTGTAGTTATTAATCATGATTAAATCTTTTACTGTGAAGCACACACAATAAGTTTACAAACTGATGTCCTTTTTCAGGGTGGAAGGGAAAATACAAAATCAGCTGATCATGTTTAGTGACATTGCTTAGTCTAAAACTGGTTTTAAATATTGGAGTTTGTGTCCTGTGGACTAATTTTCATAAATCTGATACTGGCTGTATACATTCATAGCTAATCTGTGACATCTTGTTAATTTGTGTTCGGAATTTGTCATGATTTATTATCATTTTATCATATTTTGTAATCTGTGATTCATTCAGTCACGGTTTGTTGTTGTAAATTAATTATTTGTACATATTGCATGTGTTATACACTTAATGCTTGGATAATTTGAGCATACGATCATTAACTTAGTCATTGAGGTCTCTGGCTGACTGCAAATGCTGAATGTTATCAAATTGGTGACCCAGCCACTTGGGAAACCCTGCGATATTTCAATACTGTAATGTAACTTCTACATTTTGGCATTAAAGAGGATGACCTGATTCATCGTTACATATTACACACATGACAGCTGTAATAATGTGACAATAGGCCTTACAACAATTACTGGAAGAGAATTGGTTAAAATGAGCCAACTGATACATTTCATTTTGTGTCTTTCAGTCAGTTCGTTTGTCACTTTGACTGTCTAGTCAATTACAATATTGCCAGATTTTTGATTTGAGTATATTTTGGATTATAAAATGTCTCATACTGATAATGGGTCTCATGACTCTTTATACTGGAGAGTTACATGGCCTTTCCTGGGACGTATATATATATGTGTGTCTGTCTGCTTCCTATGGTATGTCACTCACATATACACTTGTACAATTGCCAAATTTTATATGTAAATTCTTCATTGTACATTCATCCAGTGATGTCTTGGTGTCGTCTACAGTTTTTACTTGTGACACAGTATAGATACAGATTTACAGCCCTTTTTATGCTCTCGGATTGAAAGATCAGAGGCATATTGTTTTTGCGCTGTCTGTGTGTCCGTTTGTTTGTCTGTTGTCAACTTTAACCTTGCCCATAACTATTACACAATAAGAGGTAGAGCTTTCATATTTTTCATGGGTGTCCTTTGGTCAAGCCCTTTCCGATGGTTTCAAAATTTTTCCCCATGTGACCTAGACCATGACCTTTGACCTACATTTGAAAAATTGCATGCAATTAGCACTTATACTGTGATTACACTTTTAATGTCCCACTTCAAATTTTTGTTGCAACCAGGAGCATAGTGTTTCATAAACACATCTTGTTTTATACCAGTGTTTTCCAGTGGTATGAGACTATGTTGTATGCAGAATTGCTCATAGCTCTAAACCTTGCTTAAATTAACAGGTATCTTTCCTGAATTTGTTTACTTTTTTCTTCTATGTAAATATCGTTTGCCCATTTCATCCTAGATTATTGAAAGCAATAAATTTATTCTGGCATGTAGACAATCTAACTCTATTCTGACAATGAATTATGCTAATACAGTAACACTGTACTCGATGTGACATTTTGATATTTACTGTCAATATGTTGACAGTATATTATTACCAAACTTCATATAAATCTGGATAGACTGTCAGACCCAGTCACACTGGAACATGTATATTATGAACAGAAACCTATTAAAATTATTTCTCATTTTACTGTTTAAACTTAATTCATATGCATTAAATACTGTCATGCTGTGATGTTTAAAAAAAACATCTCCCAATATCCATAGTTGTTTCTGATTAAACAATAGCTGAAAAAATCTTTTGTTATATAATTTAAAGTAAATAGATGCATAAATGTGCTAAGATGCCCGTGTAAATATAATTTGTACTTGTAGAATTTTGATGGGACCCATATAATTTCTGATAATGCTTTAATTTTACATTGTGGAATCTGTTGTCTTTTTATCGATAAAGTTGAAAAGGACTCAAGGAGATATCTTGTAGATTGATCATGTACATGTAGTGTGTGCGAAACTTGTTACAGGCTTACCACACCAAAAAGACTTTTTTTTTCATATTTTCCCTTTTTTGTTTTATCAAAATTTAGGAGTGGTTTGACCTGACCAAATAGTTTTACAATACATATGATATCAGACAAAGTTTGGCACAATGTACTAAAGTACTCTGAGTATAGAATCTTGTTATCTGGCCTGTGACCTTTCCAAGGACAGAAAATTTAATATCTTAAATACCTTTTTGTCTTCCACTGGTGGAGGTTGTTGCTCTTTGAATTTAATATTAATTTAATTGAATATTTTTTAAATACTCAATGTTTTTTGATCATTAAGTCACATGTATGTAGACAATACAAAGTTTAAAGGAACTTTAAGTTTTTTTTCTCCTATCTATCTTTTCTTATTTATAAGAATTTTCACTGAAGTAAAATGTGAACTTACAGGACATCAAGCAATGATCATGATCAGCCAGGCATCTGGGGACACTGATGCATCATGTACACATCACATACATGCATATTTACACCTGATTTGTAAATATGATAGCCCAAAATTCAAGGCCAGTCCAATTCTTCATCTTGGAATCTACTATTAATGTTGTTTTATTTTGATGGCTCATTTTTTTTCTACCGAAAACCTGATACAATACGTATGTAATTGTTTTTGTAACAGTCATGAAAACCTGATACAATACGTATGTAATTGTTTTTGTAATAGTCATGAAAACCTGATACAATACGTATGTAATTGTTTTTGTAACAGTCAATACGTATGTAATTGTTTTTGTAATAGTCATGAAAACTATTACGTATGTTTGTTTTTGTAATAGTCATGAAAACCTGATACAATACGTATGTAATTGTTTTTGTAATAGTCATTTACAATACGTATGTAATTGTTTTTGTAATAGTCATGAAAACCTGATACAATATGTAATTGTTTTTGTAATAGTCATGAAAACCTGATACAATACGTATGTAATTGTTTTTGTAATAGTCATGAAAACCTGATACAATACGTATGTAATTGTTTTTGTAATAGTCATGAAAACCTGATACAATACGTATGTAATTGTTTTTGTAATAGTCATGAAAACACAATACGTATGTAATTGTTTTTGTAACAGTCATGAAATGCACTTTTGTTTTCTTTGTGAGTTTTATTTTCACAGTATTTATTTTTTAGCGGTTAATAAAAAATAACAACATAAACAGAATATTGTATCATCATTTCAGTTGATCATTTATTTCATCAGAAATCGATAATCTACATGTCTTATTGATTAAATATTTCCAAAAAGTGCCTACATATAGTGTTTTACATAAATTTACAGAGATCACTATTTGACAAAACAATATTTTTATGATCCATGTAATGACTCGAATTAGAAAGACGCAAAAATGTTTAGAATTCTTCATGACTATGATGGTATTGTAACAAAAAACAAAATAATAAACATAAATAACGTTGATTGCCCTTAAAAATATGTATAATTGATATTTGTAGCTATATAGATATAAGCTACACTCTATTTGCATTTCGTTTTTTTTTTATTTATTTTTCTATTTTGGCTACATTACCTGTGATGTGTTTTTCATTGTTTAATTATACATACCAAGACACTTAATGTGATATAATTGTGGAATCCAAACAAAACAGGTACAGTCCTATCAGCTGAAATTGGCATCACCCTTAATTGAGTAAATTCCAGTGAAATTCAGCGTGAAGATAAATCTATTTAAATATCAGGTTACTAAAATCCAGTTTAAATCAAATGCAGATATTTTTTTATTGTACAAGTGATGTTACTGAATGATGATGAAAGACATTCTTTCTGGCATGGTTATACTGTGTAGCATTCACCAACACAGACATGATGTTAGTCGTACAAAAATCAATTTAACTTGGCTCATTAAAGTTGTATATATAACAGGGTAACAAAAAAAAACAGTCTTGAACCTAAGTTAGTCAACTACATACCTATCATAGATCTGTTATTGTAGACTGTGGTAAAGGACCTTAAGGTGTGGTCACTTTAATTCTGTTTTTGTTGAAATAAATGTTGATTACGATAACTATTGATCACCACAGAAATAGATTTAAACATTCTGCTGTCTGTAGTTTAATACATTGTACCAGTAATAATGAAATATGTAACATTCTTGACTTTTGATCAGATTTGGATGAAGTGTCCGATTCCAAACATTCAGAAAGATTTTTTTTTTAAACTAATTTTAGATATAATTGTTGTATTAGATGCTATTAAGGTATCTGTGTAATGGTACCAGGGTTGAGGTTGATTTCAACAACTCACATTATATTTCGTTTTCATAATAATTCTTTATAAACATGATTTCGCATGTACATTTTTCCTAGCTATTAAATGCCACTTTATATCATGTTTCACTTTTTATCACATTTCACTTAATATCACATTTCAGTATGTATAATTACATGATACATAGGGCTCGTTTAACTCAAGTCTCGTCATAACTCAATAAGTAGAGCATTGGCCTTCATAACCTCAGGTGACATTCTGGAAGGGTTGGTTCCATGCCATCTACCTGTGGCAGAGATGTTTCTGAGATACAGACTGATCTGTATTCACCTGGTTGTAACCATGGAAACTTAGTAATCGCTCTGGTGTGTGATGGACCTTCAGTCTGTTGTTCAGTGAGGTGGCCACTAGCTACTGAAAAAATTAATTAACTTTCTTTATTTTCCGACAATTGCGAAACAAGTTATTCCAACTATTATCACTTTTGTTGGCCTGGATGTAAGCGCACAAGGTGTCTTATTGTGGGAGGAAACTGGAGTATCTGGGAAAACACCATGTGGTCGGGCATGCAATCCCTTACTTTTTCTGTTCTGGGAATCGAACCCTGGACAACTAGGTGAAAGGCGAGTACACTACTACTATGCCACCCGGCCATCCCACTAGCTAC